GTTCGCAGGCCCACACTCAATGCACTGAGCCACACCACCCTGGGCTATTACTGTTTTAATATGTCAATTATTCCTTAGTAGGACTAATAGAAGTAGATTATTTTTGTTGTTAAAATAAAAGAACAACATAGTCAGAAGTACTGTAAATAATTTTGCCTAGTGGCATTATGGTCAACATAACTAAGATGACATCTTTGTAAGTAGCTAAGACTTTATTACTTTTCTTACGGATTTTACCTTTAGGCTTTAGAGCTAGATTTCTTAAACAGAATAATCCTGAGGAATTTCACTAAAATTTTTATAACTCTGTGCATCCAAAGAAGAAAAATAATAATGAAATAAGGAAATATTTGCAACACATTTTCCCGTGATTGAATCTGAGATTAATGTAATTATTGAATCTGTGTTTACATGTGCAAATCTATAAGGAGTCATTTGTTATTTTTTATTTATTATTACAGTTATAAAAACCTGGTCTATAAGTTTTTTAACTTATAGAAAATGGGAGTAAGTTTTTATAATGAATCAAATGCAAGCAATTTAGGAATTTGGATATTTTTGAAGATCTATGAGAATATTTGCTTCTCATGAAAAGCAAATAAATCTAAAATGGGTGCTCAGGCATCTCCCTACTTTGAAGATATTTGGAGATGAAGCTATAATTTTGATAATATTTTTGAAATTGACATTCATGTTCAAAATTCTTTTTTTAACCTTTCCTAAATAAGTAGCTTTAGTTTTAGAGTCCAAAATACAAAGCAGAGCATTTTAGAGGGTTTTTAAAAAATATATTTGTACGATTTGTAGAAGTGATAATGAGACTTCATGAGTGATATGTAGTAAAAACCAATATGTCATTAAATATTAAAAAATAATGTTCTTGAAAAAAACATCTGAAAATGGTGGTTTTCTATTGGATTATATTGATAAGACACTGGTATCTCATAATTTTGTACCTCTTATCATCCTTCTTAATTTTGTTAGAGAAATTAATATTTTGTTTAGCCAGAATTAAGAGTAAGTGAGATTTTTGTTTAGGAAAAGAAATGAAGGGGTTCAACTTTTACTTTTATTCCTACCACTTGGTAATGCATGGGTGAAGAGAATTTCTTCACAGTAGTTTTCTTCTCACTGATTCTAACATTTCCAAAAATGACCTGCATTTCAGAACTTCAGTTCAACTAAAAATAATAGCAATGGCATCCAGGAGAAAAGGAAACCTAAGTAAAATGCCAAATACTGGTAACTTTTTAAAAAGTTTTCTTAGGGTAAATAAGCAAAGTCCATTTTCCCTCCATGAATAAAAAAATCACTTGGAATTTTTACTAAAATCATTCATAGATTATTTGAGTATTTTGCATTTCAGTAGGTAAAACACTGACTAGAAGCCGATGTCAGGTTACTTCTCTTTCTGAACCATATTTTGTGCTCTGGAATGTCTGTAGAGAGACAACCAAACAACTGCCCTGAGAGATTTCATATTAACAAATATTATATTAACCAGAATGCACAATTAGGAATGCACATGTGGTATGTCTTTTACATTTAGCCTGGTCTACATTTACAGAGTGAAAGAACATCAAGCAGAAGTGATAAATAATATTGCTTTGTGGCTTTAATATATTGTCATTTAATCAAAGGTTGCATGCCATTTTGTCTTTAAATACCCTTATGAGGTAGCTTAGAGAGATCTTTGCCCTTTACAAACTGTGACAGATTTCTTATTTAAGAGCAAGAAAGTTTATTGCTGAAAAATACGCATAACTAACAAGAAAGTATAAGTTCTTACTTCAGCTCTGCTAAACTTGGGGATATTTGCATTGCTGAGTTTAAGGTATAATCTATCAGTACCTAGCACTTTTATGTTTGAGAAGAAGAGATACCAGAATTTCTTGATTGTACCTCAAAATAGATGCTGCACACGGCAGCAGGACTTGCAGGAATATGACAGTTTGGTCTTTTTGCATCTCTGTTATTGTGGCTCACAATAGCCAGCAAATTAGCAAAATAGAATGATGGAAGGTACTTCAGTTTCCAGGGGGAGATTCACTTGGCTATCTTAAAGTACATAAAGACTCCCCCCAACATACTGTAGGCTGCCCTTGCTGAAATCCAAGCTACTGATTTTATATGGGACTGGAAAGCAACAGTTAGAATACTCTCTACTTTTCCTTTACCCATCTCTCCTAGTTACTTTTAGGGAATTCTTCAAGTTCTTATTTCTCCACTGCTCTCACAGTGGGTAACACAACTGCTCTAATAACCTTGAAAATAGAGTAAAAGGAAACCATCCCATTCCTGTACCTGGTGATGCCATTAGCCCCATGGGAAACCAGAAGACAGTTACAAATGACTTCTAAAAATCCCAGTTCAGATAAGTACAAACATGTGACATGAAGCAGAGACCACACATAACCAGTCAATGTCATTGCCCCTCTGTTTCTAATGTTTCTTCATTTTTTTCTTACTTTTAGACTTCATGATTAGCATGACCCTTGAAATCTTTCTTAGGAAAAACTTTAACTGGGGAAAAATAGGAACTGACTTTCTGTAATTTATAAAAAGCCAAATTTAGTAATTATTTTCAGTAAATACTTAATACATTAAAATTATGTGCCTTATTGAATTTCTCAGGTTAGGGTGTAAGCCCATTTCATTTTAACAATATGTTTAGAGGTACAAAAGAAAATGATGTTATCTGTAGACAACTCATCTGTATTATTCTAGTATATGATTTTTGACCCTATGTACTTCTCCATGTGAATTGTTTTTCATTTGATAACAAAAGCAAGTGACTTTGCTATTGGCAACAGATAGATGCTCATTAAGTACAGAGAAAATATCAAAAGAGTGTCCATTATGCCTCAAGGATGTACCAAATCAGATCAGTGCCAACAGTCATCCCTGGAAATGAAAAATGCCTATCTGGGAACTTACTTGACACTTCTTTTCAAGAAGTATCCTTAGTAGCCTACTTCACCACAAAAAAGATCTATGTCTCAAGCTTGCCGGTTCATGTTTGGAAATTCAGGAGCACTTTCCCTGCAAAGATTAGGTTATGAATCTAACAAATAAGGAGAAATCTTAAAGTGGGATATATTTGCATATAATTAATTTGCCAGCAGTCAAGAATCTATACTTTTTAGGCACCATGCAATTCTCTGTATCCTAAACTGTAAAATATGTAGAATTTTTCCACCTGTTCCATTACACCTACTTACAGGCATCCTAATTCTTAAGCACGTGGGCTCATTTCTTAGCATCCTTTCAATCTTAGTCCAAATGTTGCCTGATCCAACTCCTTAAAACTTCAAAAACAGAACAATATCTCTTGCTCTTCTAACTAAAACATAATGGTGAGTCAGATCTTGGTAATTTAGCTTAGAAATCAAAGTAATTTATTGCTATTATACCTATATATACTCCTTCCCCTCTTGGACCGCATGCAACAAACTTTATGGCTTTCATTTATGATTTTTCTGCTTTCATTTGGATAAATATATTTGTAGTCATGATTTTGGAGATAAAGCAGTAAAAAAAAAAGTGAGCTAGTTTTCCCTCTACATAATATATTGGCAGATCATAGCTGGGCTGGTGTAAATGCCTACACCACAGTCATGATGCTGAGTTTTATATTTAGATTCAAGATAGGGATATTTCAAGGGCATAATAATTCAACTGTGGACGGGTTTTGAATCAATGTCATAAAATTTGTCACAATTATTCTTTTGAAACACAGAAAGAGCAAAATGTCTTAATTGTTGTTTTTTTTAAAGGAACAAGAGTGCTTTTAGATCTCTTTTGGAATAAATTAGGTTTCAGGTTCACATTTGAAAGGACTATTGTCTACAGCCATACCACCTTGAATGTGATCTCCTCTGAAAGGATTATCAACATTATCTGCAAATATCAATAAACTAGACTGAACAGAGAGATCCCTCTAGAAAGAGGTTAGGCAGATCACGGAGTTCTCCAATCCACAGGAGACAACATCTAAATTCCAGTTTCAAGGCATTGTATTCTAAGGATCACCATGATATTAGGAAGCACAGGACATTAAAGTATGCTTAATTACTGACACAGAATCTGGTATGTTCTTTATTTGGAAGCCAGGTTTAGCTTCTAGAATTTTCCAGAGGACATTATAGAAGAGGTTGCTGCCATTGACATCCAAAGAAGGCAATTTTTAAATTGTTCCCCTTAGGATAGAACTTTCTATGGAATTTAGGTCCTTGGGACCAAAACTTACAAGGCATTTATTACTAGGTGATATGAAAAATGTAATAAAGTTGCAATAACCATGAAAATAGTGTCTTTAAAAGTCTACGTACTATTAGTAACAATGCATGCATAGTGTCAAGCATTCATAACTATTTGGTCATGAAAATATGTGACTGTAATTATGATATTTACAGTCAACTTATAAAGATGCATCTAATTCTGAATGGCAAGTTAATCCCTAGCTCTAACCATAAGTCTAGATGGATTAGTTCATTATGGGTAAGTGTAATGGGTAATTACAAAATGGACAAAGCTCTCACCCTCTTGAATTCAACATTCAAGAATGGCTATTATAGTATCATAGGAGCTTCATTTGTCATAATTATTCTTCTAAGCTCACAAAGGAAAATAAAAAATCTGTGGAAATAAATAGAAATTAAATGGTAAAGAAACACTCACATGATACAACCACAGAAGAGAATAATTCTTTCATAGAATATTCATGCACAACTTTCAAAGAGGTTTGCGGTCCCTGGAAGAATTCATCGGATGACCTTTAGGTGCACCCTTCATTAAAAAAAGTCAGCATGTTCAAAATTAGCATATGATTATTTTTAACTATAGGAGGTTAAGAATTTAACTTTTAGCCATATCTTTTTCTAAAATTTAGATGAGTACTTCTTTGAAGTTTTATTAACCATCATAGAGAGTGAGCTCTTATGGTCTTTCTACTTTAAATATAAATTCTAATGAAAGAAAACAAATCTACATTCCAGTTTACATTCAGAAAAGGGGTGGTTTTTACGAACTTGAAATCTCTCACTTTAAGGGAAAAAAACACATCAACAATAAAATATTCTACACATCTGATAAATTTTCTGCAGGTTTCTTCTCTTCTAAGAGTTGATTGGCCATCTTCTAGCAGTAGATAAGTTTCTAATTGGAACACTTCCAACATTTTACAAATGGACAAAACAATAAAAGTAAAATTGAAAAACCAGGGAGAGTTACACACAAACTATCGAAAAAGGCAGAGTTTGAGTATTACCTGCAAATCATGATCTTATATTTTAGGATGTATTTTGGCATTCTTAGAATTTTTGCAAATATCTGTTTCAGAGTAAGTTTGGGAGGTCAGATGAAATCTAGTTAGATTCTTTGTAGGCCTAAATTACTTCCCGGGACTGAGTTAGGGCATGTGAGTAGTATATTAACTCTTCCAGGACAAGTACTTCCATTTCAATAAATTACTGCTATAGTTCACTATAGAGTACCATGATGTCCTAAAAAAAAATAATGCCCTTTTCAAAATTCCACACTTCTAGTCACTTGAGCAATGAGAAATTCATATTTATCTTAGTCACTTTAATCCTTTAAGATATAACCCTCCTAAAAGTGTTTTCCCCTTCCAAATAGACATTGTACGTGAAGCAATGGTATTAGAACTGCCCCAGTGGTTAGATAACACACACCATTATTCCTATATGCATTCAGCAACTGGCATACTTGACTCTTTCTTTCTAAATCAGCCTGCCAACCTTCTTTGCATGTGAAATTGAGTACGGTAATTAAGAAAAAATGACCCAAATAGGCAAGCTTTTTAAACATTGGTAAATCCTTGGGAATCTGGTATGCCTTGGGAAAAAAATGAAGTGATATAGTTAGTGGAATTTCTCAGGTGATTACCTCTTATTTTTTAGAAAGGATGTAAAAGAAATATTAACAAGTGATGACCAGATTGTCTAAGAAGAATTTCCCCCCCAAAAGAATAACCCCAACTCCTCAGAAACCTCTACTTCAGATATGAGACCATGGCCTTTATATTTATCAATGCCAAACACTAGTTCATCATAGCAGAGCAGCTCAGGAGGTAAAAGGCTAAGGTTATCTGTGACATGACTTTACGAATAATGTAAGAACAATAACCCTATGCTTATGGCGATTATTTTCCATACTCAGTCTATTGATATTGCGTCCAGATTAACACAACTGTTAAGACATAGATAATTTCTAACAGGAACTCAATTACCTCAAGGTAGGACAAAACAAATGCCATTTAATAAAGTAACATTTGGTTAAATATACATATTTTTTAATTTCAGAGACAGTTCTCTTCTCCCTTAATATTGTGGTAAAGTCTATTTGTAAGAGGTACACTTGTTTTGTTGCTGTATTAATTTATAAACTTCATTTCCAAAGCCTATATCTACCAAATTTTTTTCTAAACTTAACTGAGTTCAGGGGATTGGCTTTTTTTTGTTTTTAGATTTTAATATTTTAAGTTCAATAAAAATATTCAACCAAAGTTGGTAGGGGACAGTAACTCTTTTCCAGGTAAAAGAGCTTACTAACAGATTGTATAATCATTTAACATTTGTTCAGTCCCACCTGAAAATTAACTTATTCTACTGCTGGGCATAGGAAAAGGCATTTTTTAGTAATTTTCGTGACAGGAAGCAGAGCACTAATCCAAGTAAGCACCCAACAGACTGAGTCTATCTGCTGGGGAGCAGTTTTTAACTTGAGCTCAATCAAAACATTGACCTCAGCATTTTTTTGAGAGAGAATTTGGTAGCAGTTACAACTAATATGCCACCTATGGAGAACTACCATCACCCTGGAAGGTGGGCCAAATGAGGAGCGCTGTTCAGATTATAAGAACAATGATACAGCAAGAAGCTACAAAATGATATTGCAGTAGTTATAGTGACCACTATGGTAGTGATTGTGGCCTGGGTTAATGTTCCAAATATCAATGCAAGGAACACAATAGACTTTATAGGATTAGAATATTTTTTTACACTGAGAACCAGTTGATGGTGTACGATGAGTGACGACAGTCCATTTACTCTATTTCATTCCACAAGTTTCTTAGTTATGTCTCTTTTCTTCTATGGTAATTATCTATACTCCACAGCAATATATTTTCACCATCTAAAATGAGAACACTATAACTATTGAATACACAAGCTCACACAAACACACACACACACAAAGATACATACTTGTACACCCTTATACACATATGTATAGACAGTATGTGTAAAGTGCTCATTTGCAGTGGGTGAGCTCTCTGAATGTAACCAAATCAGCCTCCTCAAATACAGAGAACCATTGAAAGACAATAAAAAGCCATGTCAACAATTTAGCTCTAACATGAGGTTTTAAACCTTGTTCATGTGGTATTTAATTCAAATACCTATTGTATTTTTTGCCAAGTTATCCAAAGTAAGAATTTCAAAGACTGACAACATGATATTCAGAATCTAATAGATTCACATCTCTGTTTATTGTGTTTAATGCAGTTGAATAATACTCTTGCTTCTAAAACACATGAGTTGATTTGGAGTGACCATGAATGCTCCTGTATTTGGCTAAGGCTGATTTGACTTCCTAGAGAAAGGCCAGCCTATCTGCAAATGGACATCTCCCTCCACACGAATGTCAATGCACACTAAAGACAAATCTAAGTATATGTATATATAACATATATACATATATATATACACATAAAATGGATTGGGAAGACCTTTGGTTCAGACAGAATTAAATATGTACTTCCCAAGTGCATAGGTTTCTTTTGACTAACCCGTTCAAAAAACAAATATGAAAAGTGCCATGGCAATTTTTGACATTTTCTATGTCTTTTTCCCTATTTGGAGGCCCCATTTCCTCATTCTCCATCTCTCCTAAGCATTTTATTTTTGAAAGCAGTTGTGTTTTTTGGCCTTCTAATACTTCATTGATTCATCCATTCCATGAAAGGACTATTAGATCATATTCAGCAACTTATCTTTAGTGGAGAAAAGGTTGCAAAGAACTTTCCCCCCTTCTTTGATTCTCTCTTTCCTCCAAGAAGTGGACACTTTGATGTGTAATGAATAATTCACTCTTGATCTGACTTGCTTTGTTACTCCTGGCCAGCCCAAGCAGCTGAGGTCTGAGCTTTACTTGCCCTGCTTCGTTGTGCAATACTGGAAAAGAAAAATAATCCATTAGTCTACACCCATCAGACTGTGGTGACGTGATCAGGGTTCTCTTGAATTTCTATGCATTCAATTTCCTCTCTCTCCTTTCGTTTGGCACGTTTCTTTTTCTTGTGGTGCTTTTTGGAAGGGGGGAAAAAGGTTAGGAACACAGGTAAGATAACAAAACAGTGCAGAAGTGTGCAACCCCCAGTGAGCAGCAAGCATTTGAACAGTGTGAAGGTCAGGTTTGAAGGCACAAATAGGAGGGGGACCAACCCAATAAGAAAAGAAGTAATATTTTGCAAAATGGCTGTCCCATGCTCTTGCAGAGAGCTTTTTATACATTGCGTTCGGGTGTGCTCGGTTGCTAATACAAATGTGTAAAGCAGTGGTGCACAGTGGTCAATGGCAAAATTTAAAGTGTAGATAAGGCACAAGATAGAAATGCAATCCATGTCGACATTCCATAATGTCATTAAGCCCAGAACGCCCAGCTCAATTGAGGTGACACTAAGAATAAGCCAGAAGTTTCCCAGAGGGTGGATCACTAGGAAAAAAGTAAGGACTAACACCAGGAGAACACCAAAGCCTGCAATCAGAACAGGCACTGTGACAGACAAGCCATAATGGTCCATGAACACAAAGGAGGGGTTGAACACAATGAATCGGATACTCTTTGAGAGAGACAGGGGCCTCAGCTTCTCCAACACTTCTATGACTTCCTTCTGCTTGTCTCTGCTAGTTCTTGCTACCAGATACAAGCGAGATGCAATGATGTTATTCTCATCCCCTGCCTTGGAGAAGATGATGTCATTTCGAAAGTGCTGGAATTCTGGCTTTTTTAAAAAGGAACTCTGTAGGACACTGATAAAGTCACTCTTGTTATTGGCGCTGATGTTGCTAACTTTCAGGAACTGGTAATACTGCTCCACCCAGGACACTGCAGTGAACCCACTACATAGTCTTCGTAGATCCTCCTGGACACTGCTGTTCCAGTACTCAAGGGGCTCATAGACATAGAATCCTATCACAGGGCTGTAGTTGCTGAAATATTTCTGCTGAACCATGGCATAGGAAACGCTTGGGGAATCACTGGCTAGCAAACTGATGATGTCAGCTCTGTCACTGATCTGTAGACATCCCATGAATGAGAAGGAGGCATAAATGAGATAAAGGATGACAACAAATGGCTTCACATAGATATTGGTAATCCATTCATTGTAATGCTCACGGAGGAAGTGCTGAATAAAGTGGTGCTGGTAAGGGTTCGTCTCATGATGGGATGTCTGTTGATGCCCATCACTCATCACTGTCTGGAACCACACGGGTTTGCGGTCCAGGTATTCTGCAGAAGGGATTTTGCAGCAAAAGATGCTGTGGTAACGGTTTTGCTCTAGCTGGCCAGCAAAGACCAGACAGGAGCCAAAGAAAGAAAAAATGTAGAAGTAGTTTAACAGAATGGAGACACACATGTTCTGACAGAAGACTTTTACAGCCTCTATGTTTGTGAATGGGCTGGCACCCATGCCAAAGGTAATGAGGTACAGGGAGCTGGTCATGGTATAGGTGACCATCACATCAGAATAGGCATCTGCTACCCTGTCTTTGAAGGGCAAATTTTCTCTGGTTCTCCGCCATCCAGACAGAAGCTCAAATACTCCTTTAGTTCCATGACCTAATTTGAAGAAAAGAAGAAAAAAAATAATTGTTTTTATTTCCTTCTGTAGTTCAAGTGAATTCCTGATAGATTATCTAACAAATTTTATTTGGTTGTTCCATGTTTCCATCTTAGGAAAGTCCAATCTATTACAAGTGTTGGGGAAAATAAAACGTTTATTGTCTGGCTATTAATTTGACAAGTTGTAATATAATATGATGTTATCTGCATATACACAGTCTCCTTAAATGGATTATAAAATGATCAAGGTCAGGGCTATTACCTGCGCATCTTCAAATGTCCACAACACCAATTCAGTACTTGATCAACTGATGTATTGACTGATAATTCCTAACCTTCATTTCAAGCTGATTTACATGCTGATTTAGGAAATTATAACATGATTTTAAACATGTAAAAATGGCTCTAAATTGATTTTACAATGTTAATAATCATCTTGGTGGCCAAATGGCTTAGAAACAAATTCCTATAGTTTGATTAGTTAACATTTAATATGAGTCCCCCTAAAATTCTTCCAGATCAAATAAAAGATGGGGCAAGGCCTTCAGAACAAGACATCACAGCAAGCATTTCCTTTAGGCTTATCACAGAGTCTTTATTCACAATGATGTATGCTGACTAAATGTTTGACTCCCTCATTAAAATGGATAGAGAATGCTTCTTTTTATTACCAGCTTCTGTGCACACTTTGATAATGGTAAATGGACAAAAAATTTATTCAACCTACTTAAGTACCTACTATGTGCCAGAAACTGTTAGATACTGACATGTTTTATTTAAGGAATTGACAGCTCTTAAGATACCATCACTTGCTTCTTAATTAGCAACATCAGAAATCATAAAGTTATACCATACCTGCAACTTATCTTTTTTTCACTTGACTGAATTAGCTCTGTCAAATACTACTCTTGATACATCAGTTGATAACTATCTGACTGAGTGGAAATTTTCATAAACCGTGAGTCTTGCCCTGGTAGCCATAGCAGTACAACAGATAGACCCTTTCTATGAATGGATAGAAGATACATTCTCCAAGAAATCCATTAGACAAAAATACGGCATAAATGTACAAAATGAACTAGTATAAGAAATCCTGGAAAATGGAATCTAAGACTGACAGTAGGTTGGCAGGCAGAGACAGGCAGAGGCAGATTCTGCTGTGACTTGGGTCCTTTGCTGACATACCACTGAAACCAATGATGATAAAACCCAGCTTTTCAGAGCAGCTTGGCCAATCCTAGGAGCAGCCAAGCCCAGAGGAATCAGCCACATAGTGTGGATTGCTTTTACCTTCAAACAAGTTGTTGAATGCTAGGCGTGAAGAACACCTGATATTAGCTCACACAAAATCAGAGCCATATCCAAAGGGAGAGCCCAGCAGGCAAGCACCAAATTCTGCTGAGATGAACTCCACTTTGTTCTTTTTTATTTATTTGCATTATTTTTTCTTTCTCATAGCCTTATTATTTTTCCTATTTTATCTTTTTCTTCTATTTTTGTTGCTCCATTTTCTCTTTTACATCTCTTATTTTACTCTTACCTTTGATTACCCCATTGTTTCTCTCCTTTCCTTATTTTTGTCATTCTTTCTCTTTCTTTTTTAAAAGACTTTATTTATTTATTTAGAGAGAAGGGAAGGAAGGGAGAAAGAAAGGGAGAGAAACATCAATGTGTGATGTCCTCTCACGTGGATCCCACTGGGGACTTGGCCCACAACCCAGGCATGTGCCCTGACTGGGAATCTAACCGGCAATCCTTTGGTTCACAGCTTGTGCTCAGTCCACTGAGCTACACCAGCCAGGGCATTCTTTCTCTTTCTTTGTCCATTTTTCCTGTTTCCCTCTTTCAATTCATTATTCATATTAGTTCTTTTCCCTTTTCTTTTCCTGTAATCACTTTTCTGTCCCTTGGTCTTCTCTTACTCTTTATTTCCCCCTTTCCCTAATATTACATTTCTCTTCCCACTGTTACTATTTTTGATCTTTTGTCAATGATATTGCTGTTGTTGGGGGGTGCTTGTTTTGGTTACATTTTTTGTGTTGTTTTTCTTTGTTCTATTAACACCTGTATAACAGTGTACAAGATATTGTGGAGGTTAAGCCTCTCAGTCAAACAGCTAGAGGGAAGATTTCGACAACAAATAGGCCAACAACATTCAGGACCCAAATACAGTAGGAAATCACACATAATCCACATAAAGGGTATTCCCAGAGCATCCAGATCAGGTACCACAGAATTCCATCCACATAAGACCACACCACAAGACAGGAAGTCAAGACAGGTAAAATGGGGAGATAAAGAAACAACCTCCAAATTAAAGAAAAGGAGAAATCCCCATAAAAAGAGCTAAATGAAATTGAGGCAAGCAAATCATCACACAGGGAATTCAAAGTAATGGTTATAAGGATGCTCTAGTAATTTAATGAGAACTACATCAACATGAAAAAAGACATAGAAACTATAAATAAGAACCAGCTGGAAATGAAGAATACAATATCTGAAATGAAGAATATATGAGAAAGAATTAAAATCAGGCTAGATGAAGTAAAGAAATAAGTCAACAACTTGGAAGACATGATGTTAAAATGCATTCAGTCAGAACGACAAAATGAAGAAAGACTTAAAAAGTGTGAGGATAGTGTAAGAGAAATTTGGGACAACATAAAATGGAACAATATTTGTATCATAGAGATACCAGAAAGAGAAGAAAGGGAAGAAATGTTAGAAAGCCTGTTTGAAGAAATAATGACAGAACACTTCCTTGACTGGGTAAGGGAGAGTCATGTAGATTCAGGAAGCACAGAGAATCCCAGTCAAGATGAACCCAAATAGGCCCACATCAAGACACATCACAAAATAGCAAAGTTAAAAGATAAAGAGAGAATCTTAAAGGCAGTGAGAAAGAAACAGTTAGCTGCCTAAAAAGGAGGTCTAATAAAGCATCCAACTGATTTCTCAACACAAATACTACAGGCCAGAAGGGACTGACATGAGATATTCTAAGTAATGAAAAACAAGTATTTCTAACCAAGACTACCCTATCCAACAAGGCTCTCATTTTAAGACAGAAGGTGAAATAAATAACTTCAAAGACCAAAAAAAAAAAAAAGCCAAATGTATACATCTCCACCAAACCAGCATTGCAAGAGATGCTAAAGGGACTGCTTTAAGAGGAAGAAAAAAAATATATATGGAGAGAGGAACACAGGTACAAAGGGAAAAAATGGCAATGGATAAGCACCTATCAATAATAACCTTACATGTGATGGATTGAATGCTCCCATCAAAAGACATAGGGTGGCTGAATGTATGAAAAAAGATGACCTCCATGTATGGTACCTGTAAGAAAACCACTTCAGAACAAAACATTTACACAGACTGAAAATGAGGGAATAAAAAAAAATATTTCAAGCCAATGGAGACCAAAGGAAAGCTGGCAGAGCAATACTTCTATCTGACAAAACAGACTTTGAACTAAAGACCATAACAAGAAACAAAGAAGGTCATGATATAGTATGTAAAGGGTCAGTCCCACAAGAGGATATAACCCTTTAAACATATATGAAACCAACAGAGGGCACACAAACATATAAAGAAAATCTTGGAGTACTTAAAAAAAGAGTTCGACAAAAATAAAGTCACTGTAGGTTATTTTAACACCCCACTGTCAATGGTGGACAGTTTTTCCCGACAAAAAACCAACAAGGATATAGCAGCATTAAATGACACAGTAGATCAAATGGATTTAATTCACATTTGCAGAGCATTTCATCCCAAAGAAGCAGAGTATACATTCTTCTCAAATGCACATAGATCATTCTCAAAAATAGACCACATGGTAGGACACAAAATAAGCCTTAGCAAATTCAAGAAAATTGTGACACATGGACAAAAACTAAAGAGGGGATGGTGGGGGAGGGGTGTGCAGGGTGGAGGGGAATGAAGGGGGGAATGGAACAACTGTAATGGCATAATCAATAAAATATGTTTAAAAAAGAAAATTGAAGTCATATCAAGCACTGTTTTTTATCATGATGACTTAAAACTAGAAATCAAGCTCAAAAAAGAACACAAAGACATTCATACATGGAAGCTAAATAATATGTTATAAAATAATGAACATATAATAATGCATTAACAATGAGATCAAGCCCTGGCTGGTGTCGCTCAGTGCATTGAGCACAGGCCTGCAAACCAGTATCGTGGTTTGATTCCCAGTCAGGGCACATGCCTGGGTTGCAGGCCAGTTTCCAGCAGGGGACACACAAGAGGCAATCATACATTGATATTTCTCTCCTCTCCTTTCCTTCCTCTCTAAAGATAAATAAATAAAATCTTTAAAAAAAAACTAATGAGATCAAGAAACAAATCAAAAACTAGCTGGAAAACAGTGAAAATGTACACACAACAACCCAAAATTTATGGGACACAGTGAAAACAAGTGACATGAAAGTTCTTATTATTACTATCTTTCCTTACCTCAGGAAAATAGAAAAATCTCAAATAAACAACCTAACCCTACACTTGAAAGAACTAGAAAAACAACAATAACAAAGCACAGAGTGAGTAGAAGGAAGGAATTAATCAATAACAGAGCAGAAATAAATGAAATAGAGACAAAAATGTAAAAGCTCAATGAATCCAGGAGATAGTTTATTGAAAAGATAAACAAAAGTAACAAGTCTCTAACCAGATGCATCAAGAAAAAAAGAAAGAGAACCCAAATAAGTAATATCAGAAATGAAAGAGGGGAAGTGTCAACTGATACCACAGAAATACAAAGGATTGTAAGAAATTACTAAGAAGAATTACCCCATATTTTTTGGACCATAAGACATACCTAGGTTTTAGAGGAGAAAAATAGAAAAAAAATTTGAAGCAAAAAATGTGGTAAAATATTTAATAACATAAATAACATAATATTTCACCAATGTAAATGTAAACAGAACTCAACGGAAGCCTTAACAACCATTATTCTTTCCAAATTTGGGGGGGGG